CAACACACAATTTTCTGCTTGGTTATTACAAAAAAAAATATTCTCAGAAAGAGTAGCAATGCATTGGAACAGGCAGCTCAGGAAGGTGGTGGAAAAGGATAGTGGGTGTTCAAGGAAAGGCTGGATGTTGTGTTGAGGGACATGGTTTAGTGGGAGCTACTGGAAAGAGGTGAATGGTTGGACTGGATGATTTTTAGGTCTTTTCCAACCTTGGGATTCTATGGAGGCCACAAGCATGGGCTGAAGGTTGGACTGGATGATCCCAGTGCTCTTCCTTAACTTCAGTGATTCTATGATCTCTGCCTGCCACACAGATGGACCTTAACACTGGAACTATCTGACAAGGGAATGTTTTAAATTGTTCCACAGAACTATGAAGTATCTCTGGTGGAGAGGAAAATTTCTTTAATTACAGAAAATTTAGATTAGATCATCTGGAAATTGAAACATCTCAATCATCACAATAAAGTAGTAGCAAACAAATCTTTTTGTTATTTTTCATCGAGGCAAACAGAAGCTTAGTGGGATGATGCAACCTGATCTGTCCTAGGCTAGCACAAGAGGTATTGGAAGCCTACAAAAGAATCACTGCCTAATTCTTGAAACTCAGGAGTTTATTCTGACAGTTATGACAGATCAGTTGAGAATCTGTTTCTTATAAGGGGAAATTATTTCTCCTAAATTTGTAATATGGACAAATGTGGGGGCAGGATAATCACCCATCCCATCCTTCAGAGCAAGTACAAATCCACAGTTATTACTCATCCTTTGCATGATTTCTGAATCAACACTTACCTACATATTCAGGTAACTTTCTCAAGGCACTGAAGCTAAAAAGATCATTAGATGCACAGTTTTTTTTCCCATAACCAACAGAAGACTTCTAGCACTGCAGCCTAGCAAAGGATTAACAATCCTAGGCTGCTTCCAACTTTCCTACTAGGGGCTGGTAAATGCTGTTGATCACGTAAACAAGGCTGCAAACCAGGATACATCCTACATCCCTGAAATCTCTGGGGTCTCATTGCTGCCTCCCTTTTTCCTATAGTGTGATTCACAATTTTACCGTATGCATTCTGAGCACTTTTTTCCTTTCCTTTGTATCACTTTCATAGTCTTTTCCTGTCCAAAAGACTCCCTGGTACATATGCACCTGGCTACCAGAATTCAAGATGCTTTCACTTCAAGCTCTATAGTACACGCAGCTGTCAGTCTGCAAGCAAGCTTAACCTCCTGTAAAATAACAGATCCTTCCCTACAGGTCATCCAGGACCCATCATTTGCACTGACAACAGAGTGGTTACTCTTATTTCATTCAGGAACAACAGATTCTCCGCTGTGAATCTTTCTCTACATTAAAAATATAATGGACATCAGTATTTTCCCCCCCAGGGCCTCCTCATTTCACTTGAAATCTACACAGACAAGGTTCAAGACACTGGCTGACATTCAGATCAGGCTGTAAGCCCTATTCTCTGCGTAGGCATGGGGCACCAGGCTGTGATTCCAGCAAGAGAAGTTTCTGGCTAGCCAAGTTGCATAAAAGAAGGTACAGCAGGACTGGCAGCCAGATGCTGTTTGGCATGGTGGACAAAGTGGCAGTGCTTCAACACTGGCTGTTGTTTTCTTTTCCTCTCATTCATATCCTCTTGCATCTTTAAATCAAATATGCTTACAGCTTCAAATGTCTGCTCCTCACAGAAGAGAAGTTTCTAATCTAAAATGTTAGGGAGATGAATCTGTAGAGGGAACTAATGTATTTTACACCACCATGGAGGAAAAAAAAAAACAGCTTTACACTTAAGTTAAAATTGCCTAAAGGCAACCAAATCTGCATGCAACATGCCAACATTTTATTATGCTCTAACGAATGCTGTATAGAGAAGGCATAGCCACTACATAGATTCATGACATAAGCCATGGGAACCTGAAAGCCCATTCTCCTTCCTTTATAAGGAATGTATAATGTATAAGGAATTTGTATAATTTATTAATTATCAAGACACTGAGTGTGCGAAGTTGCACAGCACCATCCTGTGAGCATCAGTGCCAGGGACACACCAGCAGCTGCGGAGTTACAACTGATAGAGAGTACACGACAAAACAGAATGCAAAATCTAATGTTGCAGTTGAAAATCTTTTCTAACAAAAAGCTGCTCCCACAAATTTACAGTCAGATACCCCTTTACCCCTTCTTTTATTATGAAATAAAAAGCTTCCACTTCAACACTGAAGAGATATAGCTAACAGTGCCGTTCAAAGCTAATGATAAAGATGAGATAAGGAAGAGGCAGACTGTTCTGGTAACTATATAAAATACAGCAGTCATTCAACTGCAGTTGTATGCTTAATTAGATAAAGTGTTTCAGGATACGCAGAATTTTCACACATGGGAATCCAGAAGGTATTCCAAACAGTTTACATCTCCATTCCATTTTCTGTAATTTCTCATCTGAAATGACCTTACTTTCTTTTTTTTTTTTAATGTGATTTCATTTGAAAGTTTTGCTAAAAACACTCAATTTTGGCAGCAAATGTAATTAAATTATTTCCCTTTCTGTTTCTTACACCCCTACACATCACCAAAACAACTAACAAAGAAAAAAAAAAAAAAAACATCAGCCTTTTGTTTTAAAATTAGCTCTAACAGAATTACAGCTCCCCCTGCAACCACAGATGAAGACTTTGAACTGCATGAAGCCATGAGGACACAAGAAGAGGATGAAGAAAGAGCCATGGGCTACGAAGGGAAGCAGAGGAGGTGGAGGGCAAGTCTGGTGGAGGGCTTGGAGTATTTATAACAAATCAGCCCTCCCTGCATCCACCAGAGCCTCCAGCAGCTGCTGTGCTCCCAGGGATGTGCAACAGAGTGCCAAGGTAAAGGAAAGATGCTCCCAGACGAAAGAAGGTCAAGGTTCTGGCTGCAAGCTGTCTGCAGAACTTGCTGGCACAGCACTCGCTGCCTGCCTGGGCTGGGGTGTTTAAACAGGGCTGGTCTCCCACACACCGCCTCCTGTTCATGGCTAATCCTGCTCAGAGGTCAAATAACGCCAGCCGTGAGTCACCACAGCATCTCCCAGGCAACTGGCCGAATATACGATGTAAACACACGATTACAGATTGACTGCAGGGATCAGGAAGGAGAAGGAGGAGGAGGAAGAGCTGGGCTGAAATAAGTCATGCTTGTATTAAACTCAGTGCTGCAGTAACACTGGACAAGCCCGTCTGTGTCAGCAGGATAGCATGATTTCCTCCTCTCACTTTGCTTCTCCCCAGCATCTTCTTCACTGAAGTCTTTTTTTCCCCTGCAGATAATTTCTCCAAAATGAGGTACAAACACAGGAGGGGCTGTTACACAAATGGCTGCATTTAAGAAGTCACCCTCACTCTCAGCCATTCTTCTAGTACACGTGGGCCTCCCTCTTCCTGAAGCCCCTTTTCAATGTTGGTCTGATCTAAGCTGCATCACGGGATAACAATCATCCTTATGGAATAACCAAGAAACAAAATCATCACGCAACTAAACCAAAAAATATAAATTCCCATTATAAATAAAGGAACAATCGAAAGCAATTACCTCCTTTCCCTCTGAATCAGAAGCAGAGTCAGATTTCCCACTTGTTACAACTAATGGCAGCAAGAGCAACCCAGGGAGCCCTCCCCAGTGACTCAGTGAATCTTGGGGCCAGCAGGACAGGGGAAGCAGAGCCATGGAGCTGGGGACAAGCCATGGCCACCAGCCAAGCCATGGCACTGAGGATGCTCAGGCAAATGCTGTAGGAAAGCATTACTGCTGCCCGGAAATCCCATCAAGTATTCCGGTTCCTGAAGGCAAACACAGCATCCTTTCAGATCCTTTCTTGGCAATTTGGCCGCTGGGTCCCAGGAGGGAGATGAGGTCACACCACGCTGTCACAGCCCCTGCGCGCCCCATGCACACGCGGGCTGCGAGTCACCGCCTCTCCCCTTCTGTGAGAAAACAGACGCTGAGCTAATTGATTGCACAGGAATCAGCCACTGTAAAAAGGCTTCTCATCCCGAGTAGAAAACAGCTCCAACAGCACAGAAAGGAGCGGAAATGAGCAAATGAGGTGGCCAACTCTCAGCCACTAATCACCAGGAGGGAATGGTGTATTTCATTAGCTAAGTCCTTAGTCCTAATCGTACTTCATGCACATCTCTTACAACAAATCACTAGACAGACAAATAACAATAATAAAACAATACACTCAGTTCCATAAGCTGTACTGTATATAGAGGAAACGTCAGACGTTTTTCTCACACTAGTACCAATGTGTTGCACAGCAAGAAGTCAGAAGGGAAGGTTAATTGTAGGGACCACAGCCTAGAATGTGCTCATTCCCACGGGCCTGAAGTCACCAAAGAAAACTCCGTGCCGATTTGTTTTAATTGCACAAAGGCTAAACGAGAGTGGCGTGCTTTAAATGTGAAAAGCCACTCTGTCTGAGCTCTGCTGGAGGGATGGCACTGAGCACCGCGTTTCCTCCCTTCTGCAAGGGTTTCAGAGAACGCTGTGTTTGTTCTGAACTGCACAACAAGACTTCAGAGAGAAGGGCTGTGTTTCACAAGGACTACAGCAACGGACCTCATCACACTAATTAAGCAGATCCTAAGAGGAACTGGAACTTACCAGGCCATACACCATTTGGACACTAGCATCTTTAACATTGCAAATGTATCCTCCAGTATCCTGCTCAACATTTGAAAGCTTTTTACTATGTATTAATATAACTTCATGTTTTCCACAACAGAACTTCATCAAACATTAATATCTACAAACTGAAAATCATACCATTCTAGCAAAGTCAAGCAAGAGATTTTTAAACTGCTGAAGTGGTCATCCAAACCATACATTCTATACTCAGTGAATGTGCAAATGAGAAAAAAGTTGACCAAAACAGAATTACATTTAAATCCACTTGAAAGAAGCAGATTTCATAGGCTGATACAGTGGTATGCAAAGAAGAGCAACTATTTACCAGGAGAAATTGTCTCCAGACTCCCAGGATTAATCTTCCTAGTGCTCGTGCAGTGCTGGACAGTTGACCCAGTGAAGATCAAGTAGAAAACTACATCATCTTCAACCTTATCTTCCTCAGTCAGCTGCACTGTAATAACAGAGTCGCCCTGGAAAGAAGAACAAAAAAAAAAGTCATTAAGTTTACATATCCAAGAACTGCATTAAATAAAACTGCACTCTCAGGCTGCTGCTTTCTGTTCATGCACTCCTTTCAAATGACTTGGGGCCCATCCTGATTTTCAGATATGCAAGTCATCCTTAGCATGCCTCTTAGCCAGACTATCAAGCATTATAGCCAGCCAACCAGCTAGAAAATAAGTTGAGCTCAGCTCTGGGAAGAAACACATAGAAACCCCCAGAGTATATTCAGAATAGCAACTTAACATGGGGAAATCTTGCCATTTACTGAAGTCTGATAAACACATACCCCACACAGGGTCTTTTATGGGCATGCACACACATACAGATAACTCCACACACATACATATCACATATACTTAGCTAAGACAACAAAACAGGGTTGCAACTAATATGACCTGTGTTCACTAGTTTAAATTCCCTCATTCTTTTCCCCTGCCACCCTAGCCACTGTGCTGATGATAGTTCCAGCGTGACCAACCCCATCATTGAATACATTCTTCCCTCAATAGACACAAATGCTTCACAGCCACTGAGGTTTATGAGACAAATAGCTGATTCCTGCTCAACTTCACAGAGACTTTATTTTAGCACCTGAGAGCAAAACCCTTGTAGATGGAGGGCATATATCATCATCACTGCTAAACTGGTACAGGATACAGTAAATACACCTGCAGTTCATGCACCCCTACAGACCACAGGGTCTGTACAGACCACATATCCAACAAATTCAGTTTTCCATGGAAAAGGGGAAGCGGGGAAGGGGGATGACTTGCAGTCACCATACCAATAAGTGAAGCACGTTCACTTGATCTGACTGCCCACCATTTACCTGCCTGAAATACACAAAGCATTGAGACACCAAGGACGGGCTGAAGTGACCTTCTGCCCCAGTTCCCTCTAAGATCAAAACCAGTTGGTTGTCCCAGTTTTACACAGCAGCTGCATTAGCCAGCCCTCTGCCACAACACTGAGCATATGCTTAAGGCTGCAAATCTGGAAAAGATTGTTTTTATTATTATTTGTGCCGATTATGTAATTCTGATTTGCATAGCCAATGGAAGACACATGTCATTCACTTCAAACCTTCTCCTTAAAATCATTCAGTTAATCTCTTCTTTGTCAAATACAATCCTTGAAGAAAAATCCAAGACTTCCAAGTCTTCACGAGCACCCATACCATGTTAGTGTCGCTTCCCACACTCCACTTCCAGTCTCCCCCATCTTTCATCATCACTTCAACTCTTTTCATGCCCCAGCAGAGCTTCCTCCACATCCAGTGAACTTTAAATTCTTCTCTCCCCTGCCCTGGCTGGTAGCTCTCGCCATGGTCAGACCGCATGGACTGCTTTGGACACAAACAAGGTTTTTCAGCACAGTGCAGCCTTCAGCCTTAAAAGATATGGGTCAGTCTTTTAATGCACAAAATCATGAACTCGCAAAGATAAATGAAGCAGCAAGGAGATTGCATTTCCACAGGCTGCAGAGTTCCAAATGGACATTTCAGGAAAGTATTGCATGATAACATCACACCAGGCTTCCAGCTGGGGATAAAGGAAGCACGGAGCAAAAGTATAGATTCTGTATGTTCAGTGTCAAAACAAAAACAGGTGCAAAAAGAAAGAAATTAAACTCAAGCATGACAAGTTCACATGCTGAGCTGAAAGCAAAATAACCCATTGCAAGCAAATGGATCCAGTTTTGAGTGAATGCTCAATTTAAAAAAAAAAAAAAAACACTAAAGTTTCAGCCTGCAAATCCTTTGTGCTCGGACTTTTTTTATCTATCCATCTTTGTTCAAACTGTTCCCCCCTTAAGGCATGAACACAAAAGGTACTTAAGACTTAAAAATGAGGTGATGTTTAAGGATACTCATCAATGGGGCCAATTGTTTAAGCCATAGCTCTTGAGGGGAATTGTTCTTTTCTTTAACTCACAATTCAAGTACAGCCAGTCCAACTCTCATAAAGGAAAAGCAAATCTGCAGAGAGTGCACGTGAGAAGACACCTGGCTATACATGTGAACAAGGCACTTGCCAGCACAACACTTGATCTAAAAAAAAAAAAAAAATAGACAAAAAGAAGCAAAATAAAATGGTGACTACAACTGATTGTGTAAACACAGGTAAGAAACCTGAAATCTGCCCAAGCTGAGGTTTAACAAGATGTGTGAACTATTCATATAGAAGTCTGAAGTTGCCAAGCAGTCAGGCCCAGTTTTAAGGGTGGCCCTGCTTTGGGGCAGGAGGGATAGACCTGGTGACCTCCAGCAATCCCTTCTAGTCACAGTTATTCCGCAGTTTGTATGTTTTATTTTAGCTCTGTTTACCTTAGTGCACATTTAAGCCTAGGGGAAACAAATTCTCCTCAGCTGATATCGGTCAGCTTTTCAGCTGTGCCTACACCGTGCTTCACGGAGGAACACTCTCCATCACCCTTCTCCCGGTCTTTCTGGAGGACCTGGTCCAAGCCTGATTAGAGAAGCCCAATATCCTAATTATGTCAGCTAAATATTCTAATTTTTCTAAACTGAAATCGTACATTGTCTCCAAACGTCTGCAGCAAGATGGATAAGGTGCCACCTAAACGCTGCGTGCTTCAGTTTACTCTCAGCTGTCTCCTGAACGAGCTCTTGGCTGTGCTATGCACGGGACAACTTGCTGTACGTGACCAGAGATCCCAGCGGGAACAAAACACAAAGTGCAGGCCATCCTTCAACACACATCTCTCTCCTCGGTTATTAACAACTTCGCTACCCGCTGCCAATTTTTATTTAATCTTCAAATGCCATTTTGAAACAACGTATTTATTTGAAGAGGAAACAGTGCACAGAACAATCCTCCCTCTTTCAAACACTTGTGGAGCTAAAGAAACTCAGTTACAAACGCAGCCAAAATTCCTTCGATCCTCACAGAAGAGTTTCCAACAGCTCTATTGCATTCAGCCTCCAAAAACATTTTAATTGAAGTGTGTTTACCTTTATTCATTTAATATTATCCAAAAAAGTCATCTGTTCAGTATCACTGCCGCACAAGGTGGTTATTATAACCCTTCTTTCATCCTCAATGGCTAGAACTGGATGGCCAGTCTGCCAATATCCCTTTGGTGAAAGTACAGACAGATCAAAGCCATTCCCTGGAATGCTCCAACAAATAAGAATAATTTAATTTCAAAACTAGTTTGGATTGACTAATATTTACTTGGCTTAAAGCCTATTGGAAATGAAAACATTCCATTTTCGTCCATTCATGAAAGAGGTCACCCTCGCCTTCATTTTGATCTGAAAGTCTCTGAAAAAGCTTTTTGGATAGCTGTAACATGATGCAAAGAGCATGAATGCTGCTCTGCACTCAAAATACACTCCCTTTCTCAAGCGGAAGGGAGGAGGAGCACGAGCTGCCTCCTCAGGGGATGCACGCATTGGGAAAACCAGACTTGGCCCTGGGCTTCGATCCACCACAACCCAGCCCAAAGTGATGCTGGTGCAGCTTGTCTCTGAACAGCCAGCTTCCTTAAGGCAGTAGAAATGCAATTGTCTCTAAAAAGGCCCCAGCACAAGTGGAACCTCCTAGAAGCAAAACCAGAATGCAGCAAGGCACCTGTTTGCGGCACTGGGACAGCCACACCATGCCAGGCATTTGTTTTTCAAGTCCACAGCCATAAAGGCGTATGGGTTGTGTGCACAGAGTATGAGCAACTCTGAGTAATCATTTCTTCTGACACCACCTGGGTTCCACATCTATATAAGTGGATGATTTCCCTTCAAAGGAGGCTATACAGCAATACTTGCAAGCGATGGCACAGCAGATAATCCATAACTGAGAAGAATCAAGATCACCTGTGCTATTAGGTAGGCGGTAATATCTACCTTGTAACAAGCACCTTTTAAAATCTTTTTTTTTTTTTTTTCTTTTTTTTCTTCCCCACTTCAGTCTCTAGAAATCCGTCTGTTTTGAGGGAACCTGGCACAGAGGGCCCTGAACAGCAGCACCACGAGGGACAGCCCTTGTGAGCCCATGCACACAGCCCTCAGCCGGACAAAGAAGAGGTTCTGCCATGGGACACCCACTCTCCAGGCACGTTTCCCTATTTCCCCTTTGCAGTCTATCTCTGTGTTGGGTTAACAGATTTTAAAGTTTCTACCAAAAAAACCAGCACAGTCTACTTTTGCATGTGAAACAAGTGATTTCTAAATAGCTTTTTTTCCTCCTGGATCACACTGGGAATTTGAAGTACATTATCTAACCCATTAACCACCCACTCTGACCTTCCCCCACACAAATTCTAAAAATACTTATGGAAGCAAAGCATGTGTTAGATAGCAAAGCTGAAGCACTCCAGCTTTAATTTAGCGTTCAGTGAGAAAACACTGCCGACGAGTAAAGCTACTTTTGTTCCACACAGAAAAACCAAATTACAGCTGATGACCACTGCCATCTCGGGCTGCTTTTTACTCCTGCAGGTAAAACCCATGCAGTTGTATGGAACAGAAAGTTGAGAGATTCATATGCGAGGAAAGAAACCTCCCTCCAATACATTCCCTTCTCCAGAGCTGTTGTAGAAGTCAGCAAGGTGATGCTTCATTCTAGAGGCTGGATTAGGTTCTGGATTAGATGAATAAGCGTAACCTGCCAATGCAGCAAGTTTTGTTTTGTTTCCACTGTTCATAACATGAGTCAGGTTTTTGTTGGGTCATTGCTTATTGCATTATGTTATGACAAGAAAAAAAATGGAGAAACATGCTTTTGAAACAGAACTTTTTTCCTTCCCCTTTGGAAAGCTCCAAACAGCTCCTAGCTGAGCTGCTCAGTTGACAGATGCAAAACCACAGCTATGGATTCTTCCTCTGCTCCAAGGAATTTAGACTCACTGGTACTTCTATCTTTTCATTCACAGGTGGAGATGAACTCACTTTTATCCCAGTTGCAGCTCAACACAACACACAGAATCAGGCTGTAATTGTAGGGGA